CCACAATCGCCTCCGGCTGCTGCCATTTTTATTTTTGTAAGTATGACTGTAAAATGAGTGGCATTATCTAAGCCAGTACATTCTTGTACAGCATCATAACAGGAGCTACGCATTTCTATCTGATATGATTTACACTCCTGTGGGCAAGGCCCCGCTGGGACAAACCTTGGAGCCCCGGGGGTTTGTCTGGAATTGGGGGCCTGGGGCTGGCCCCGGGTCCCATTTCCCTGTGGGGGAAGAGGGTTACCGTGAACATCCCTTTTGGATCTGCACTCATTAGCCCAGTGGTCTCCTCGTTTGCATTTGGGACATAGCCCTGGTTTTTTTGTAGAGGACAGATTTTGATTTTTACTTTTGCAAACACGAGCCATGTGGCCAATTTGGCCACATTTGAAACAAACAGTATCTTTTTTAGGACGAAAGAGGGGCTGTTTAACTGTGCAACCTTGTTGTGCCGCGGCCATGGCTCGGCCTTGATGATAAGCAGGCCCAATATCTGCGCATAGGCGAATATAACCCAATAGGTCCTCCTTTTTGCGATGTGGTCGAATTGCAGCCTGACAAGCTGAGGTTGCATTTTCATAAGCCAATTGTTTGACCAGGGCAGAGTTTGTTTCTGTGGAGCCGCAAAGATGCTCTACCGCCTGTAGGAGGCGATCGACAAAATCTGAAAAGGGCTCCTCAGGCTTTTGTTTTATTTGGGTGAGCGACAAGGCAGGCTCTCCTCCAGAGGGGAGCTGTTTCCACGCTCTAGTGGCTGCCACATTAATCTGCGCAAAGAGGCCCGAATCGAACTGCATTTGACGCTCTTTTGTGGCAAAATCTCCTGTTCCTGTAAGCATAGCAAGGGTCCAGGGCTTTTGCCATGTGGCATTATCTCTGGCTATGCCCTCACACTGATCAAAAAATTCAGATTTCCATAACAGATAATTGCCTCCGGAGAGGGTGGCTTTTGCTAAGTCTTTCCACTCATTAGGGATAATCCAACCCTGAGTCAAAGAATCTAGAACTGCAATAGTATAGGCGGCAGTTGGGCCATATTGAGAGACTGCGGCCTTTAACTCTTTTAGGGCTGTCAGGGTGAGAGGTGTGTGTATCCTAACCGCTTGTGGTTGAGTGTCCTCTTCAACATCCCGCGGGGGAACAACGGCCTCCGTAGATGGGAATGCCATTTTGGGCTGGCTGCCAGATGCAGGCGCCATTTTAAGAGTGTCACAAGGCTTGCCAGAGGTAGGTGCCATCTTAGGAGAACTATAAGGCTGTGTAGCTCGGAGGGCCTGCAATTGAGTTGAAAGATTTTGGCATTCTTTTTCTAGCTGTATCTGTTTTAAAAGATCCCTTTTTCTTTGTTCTAATTCCGCTAGCATGCTAGAAGGTTGAAGGCAGACGCGAAGTGCATCATCATAGTCAGGGGGCTCAATGACGGCCAGTGCCGCAACAGGGTCAGGGTGGTATGTAGAGGCTTGCTGTACTACGTGTTCCCAGTCGACCTCTTGAAAATTAGAGAGGTCGGGGTATAAAGACTGATATGAATCTCCAATTGGCCGTGGAGGGGTGGGGGGTGGGGGTCCGCCATCTCGGAACCTGTCAGTCTTCTCAACAGGAGGAAGTAGTGGCAGATCGCCATCTTGGAGGACCTCTAACAGGCCATCAGCCTCTGCGTCTGAGAGATCAGAGGCTTCAGATTTTTCTGAGGAAGGTTTTGGGGTAGGATTAAAGGAATTGCGCAGGGCAGCCTCACCCTGTACAACCGTCTCCTCAATCTGAGGATCTGCATGACGCTGAGTAAGCAGCTCAGAGATTAAATTCCAGTATGTAAAGGTGGTCACAGGAACCTTTTCCGGACCGAAAACTCTATCAAAATCTGTTAGAGCATCTCCTACTCTTTTCCACCTCTTGGTATCTATAGAGCCCTCTAAGGAGAACCAAGGGCAAACCTTATGAATAAACTGAAAATACTGCAACAATTCTTTTGTTCTAACCTTTATCCCTCTTGTCTTTAATGCCTCGCTAAGGCCTCCCACGAATAATTCATGTTTGCTCAATGCTTGACCCATGTCGAGAAAAGGGAATGGGGTTGCCGTTCACTCACCGTGACTCAGGCAGCACTTTCGGCAGTCGTCTGCACAGGCCTCGGCCTTGATTCAGTTTACTTTCATTTTGAGCCCGCGTTCTCGAAGGGCTCCCTCGTTAACTCCCCCATGCCACGAGCTGAGCACCACTTGATCGGCCCTCAGATCAATCCATGGGGTGTACCTGGAGGAGGAACCGGAATGATAAAAAAAAGTCAGTCAAAACAAAGGTTGGACATAGTACACGATGTAAAAACAGAATACCAGGTAATCAACAATAGTTACCATAATGCCTCTTGTTACCTTAAAAAGAATTGCCTATATCATCAGGTATAATAAAATTGAACTAAACAGTACAAAACAAAACCAATAAAACCTAAACATTGGAGACATTACTGAACTTCAAAAGAAGATAATAGTCAAACCAGAATGGGCATCATAGTGAATCTTACTGCCTTCAAAGTAGTTGCCTATAGCCTCAAACTTGATACTATCAAACAGAACCAAATAGAGTAATATCAGTCAAAACAAGATGGTGAGAGCAATACGGGGCTTCAGTTACTATAATATATCCTCCTAAGTTTTAAAAATTTTTTTCCCTTAATTAAAAAAATAATAAAATAAAATGAATTTTTAAAAAGGGCAAAGAGATAATATAGAAACTATTGTTCATTTTCTGTTAGCTGGTTCTAAATACCTTGTAATGCTTTTATCCTCTTGAATGGTTCCACACTGTCTTGATATGTTTGATATATAATATACAAAGTTATACTCAAATATTTCAAGGAAAGAGACACTATGGTAATTACTATTACGTCAGGTTATCTTGTGGTGAAACACTATGTTGCTTAACATATTGATTAAAAAGATTATCCCATCAAGAGGAAACAGCAATAAAGGAGGAGCAGTATCCTAATTTCGCGTTAAGTGGATCTGAAGCCAAAATTTATGTGAAGACATAAATTCCTACATAGTGGATCAGGGAATAGCACAGGAGGAGGAGATGATGGGTATGAGCACTTACACACCAAACACTGGTACATGCAGCATAAAACGAACATCACTAGATATGAAAAAGGAAATAAACACTAATACAAGTGTACTAGGGGCTTTATATAATCCACTAGCACAAATGAACGACTCGATAAATAACAAATGTTGGAGCAGAAGCAAACTTTTCAACAAGTGCATGCAATAGATATCCAGAGTGATCACCCAACAGAAAATACACACTCTTTTCAGTAGCATAAGAAGCATTCTCCAAAACAGACCGTCTTCAAACAATACCTGCTACGCTTACAACAGAGATGAGTGGGCAGGAGGGCCACAGTGACCTAAGAGTGTTCCTAGGATGCATGATGCTGAGAGATGCCCTCGTCACACTGAAATCAAATACAGAAATCTCAGCATCGCACCGAGCGAGGGATATTCTCCTAGTCGTGCCCCCAGCTCTCTTCTTTGTATTTATTTTTCTTCTCCTGTGTTCTTTGACTTGGTAACTTCTTTTCCCCACCTGCAGTATCAGCCCCAGATGCACGGTGCACTGGGCGGAATTTTAACAAATATAAATAAGAAACATAACTTTCTCAAGGGATTGCAGACACAGCGCTGGGAAAACTTAGTAACATTTATGATAAAAACCCATTAAATACAAAATACAGGGAAACATGCATAACCTTTTAAAGGTTGTTTACAAAGAACCTACAAACAACATCACACAATGGTGAAACACTGAATGTTTTCTCTCTATGATAGGAAAGCAAGGTAACCTGCTCTCACCGCTCCTCAGTACTGCATTGGAGATTCCGACCAGATGAATAAGAATACTCAGGTGTAAACAAAGAAAGCTGAGCTGTTACCGAGGGGATTATGGAAAGAATCCTATAGCATCCGCCAAGAGAGCTTCTAGACCTAGTAAATGGCGGCAGTTAGGGTATAACATCAAAGACCTACAGTCAACATCCATTATTTTTATTGAGGAGAGTCTGAGGAGAAGGAATAAGCCGAGCAGAGCTGCTCCTCACGCGGTAGGAAAGCTCCGCCCGACCCGCCCGGCCGGCGGAGGGAAGGTCGCCGCCAGAGATCGGGCCTCGCCCCGCCGTGGACTTACCGTCTCCCTTCTCCTCAGGATGGGCTCTTCGGTAAAAGTTTCCCATCAGCGCTCCGTGAAGCCCACCACAGGCGTTTTGATCGCTTCAACAGCCCTGAGAGAGAAAGGATTCAGCGCCACCCAGAGCGCGTCGCGGAGGTCCCAAAAAAGCTTCCTGTTTCACAATTTACAGGTCTCACACGCGTTTCCCGCCGGCCTCTGCTGATGACGTCAGTGGTCTGCGCGTTCTCGCCTACCCTAGTGCGCCTGCGCGGGCCACTCCATCAGTCCAAAGCTCTTTTCAAAATGAGCCTGCTGCCTCATTTCCAAATATTCACCTGTAAAACAGCCAAACCTCCTTCTATTTCATTTAGTCCTGTCCTGTGCTGCATTCGTGATGTTCTCTTACATCAGGGGACTGCTTCTCTCATGGGACACTGACCCTGGAGTCTTTGGAGAACACAAGAGACCCCATATAGAAAGACGACACTAAGGCCATTAAGAAACCAGGGGCAGCTCTGGAAGCGAGCAGTACATTTGTTAAGTGAAATTATTGTTAGTCTAGGTGAGGTTGACATGAGAGAAGACAGACATGAGAGAAGACAGTACATTTGGTAAGTGAAATTATTGTTAGTGTAGGTGAGGTTGACATGAGAGAAGACAGACTTGTCCGGAAATTTCAATGTGACAGTTAATGTCTTAAAGTTTTCTCAGGGTGGTAGGACTTTACTTGCTCCCCACTAGGGCTAGAAGGCAGGCAGTGGGTAGGAGCCAATCACCGTCGTAGAAGCGGGTTCCTTGAACTGTCCAATCAGGTGAGCGAGGTGGGCGGGACTTCCGCTGTTATGGCTCCACGTGTTGAGTGCGTGTGGCAGAATCCCTCTGCCCGTTAGCCTGCCTTTTGATACTCTGCCGGCTGCAGGCCGCGTGGGAAGGACTCGGGGACACCGGGAAGCCGCGCTGTGGTGATGGTGCGGGACGGAAGCCGGGGAAGGGATGGGGTCGGGCTGAGGTCTTTGAGGAGGCGGCCGGAACCGGCTCTGGGAGCCGCAGCCTCCCGCCGAGCTCCGGACCCCGAGGTCCTCCGGGCTCTGGGGCTTTTGCCCCTTTTCCCCCGGCGGGGTCCGGGTCACCGCCGTGTCCGTGAGTCCGTCCCCACCGTGACACTGCCCGCCCACGGTGCCGTCCGGTGTGGCCCGGCAGCGCCTCGGCGGTGTGGGGAGAGCGGGGCTCGGGGCGGCCCTGGTTCAGGGCGGCCTGGAGCTGGTGCGGCTGCGGGCGCTGGGTCCCTGGTCTCGGTGCTTTCAGTAGCAGAGCTGGGGATGTGACGGTTATAAATGGCTGCGAGGCAGGGTCTCAGACCCACACCTGCTCTCTTCAGACCTCTGCTTTTTCTATTCACAGTGAAGTCCTGAGTTTCCAGTGTTTCCCCACATGGCCAGCCTCATAGTAGTTGTAGATGAGTGTAAGAAAGGCTTTAAGATTGCAGGTGACCTGGCTCCGGAGGGGAGCTTCCCACCATGCAGTGAAGTCCTGCTTTGTACACTCAGCAGTGTAGACTGCCACCTTAGATGTTTATGTCTGACTTCTACTGACAACAATAAAGAACAGGGCTCATGAGCTCTCCCTGCATTGTGGAGTGATGGCCCAAACGCAAAGAAAGATGTTAGTGTTCTCTCTGGTGGCTCTGGCCAGCCTCCATCTCACTGATGTGGTCTCTCTGACATAGAGGAAGAGCAGCCAGGAAAGACCGGCGTCAAGAACTGTACTGCAGGTATTGCATGAAGAGGTACAAAGCCACTCAGAGAGTGAAGTGGAGGCACTGAAAGCTGAATCTGGGGTGCAGTCATGTTTTACAGCTGGGGGCACCATCTGTACCCCCCACAAGGGTCAATGTGTGATTGGTTATTGGACTTGTTCCTACAGTGCTGTTTGGTCGCTACACGGGAATTTTCCAGCAAATACTTTAGCAACTCATTTGGGGAAGTGCCCTCGCTGAAGGGGAGCTTAAAGGAAAAGTGTGTAGCCACATAGACACAGTGTGAAACTACAGGCTGTTCCCAGGACTGTTTGCTGGGACGCAGAGGCCCTGGCTCTTCTACTTCTTAGAGGGCCCAGTCCCTTAGCTAACCCTCCCTGTGGGTCTCAGCTGTCCCTGCATGAGGAGAGTTTTCACTCTGCATAGGAATAGCTTCCTGATTCTTAGAAGCACCCTTGAGGGGGCTGCTCAATCCAGAGCTAAGTAGAGACACCCAGAGCACAGGAATTGCTCAGTTCTTTAATGTCTGAATCTCCCAGGTGATTCTGGGTATTGGAAATCACCATTTGCACTCACGTTCTCAAACCAGTTTTGTTACCTTGTAAAGTTTAAAAGAAACTGAGATTTTAGAGAAAAAGTGATCGCTTTGCACTTGAAGTCCTGGAAACTGGGCAGTTTGGCAGAGAGCGGCTGCAGCTCCTCGCAGTAGGGAAGGCTGTGTTCCCTGTTCCTAAGGAAGTTCCATCTTGGTCTTCTGTGTCCTGGTCACCAGCTCTTCTGACCTTAGGTCTCATCAGTATGGCTGATTACACAGCTCTAGCTCAGGCCCTTCTCCGTACCTAGCTGCTTTATTCAGAATGTAGCAAAACAGGCTGTTTAGAATGAGGCTGTTTAAATGAGCTCTTCCAGAGCGATTAGAACACTGAGGAAAACGGTGGTGGCGATGTGAACTTGTTACCAGTGTGGAAAGAGGTAGTCTCTCCTGTCAAAGGAAACAGTTCAAGGAACTCCATCTACCAGCATCCTGATGTTCATAAAACAGTTTTATTATACAATGTGCATGTGCTTGTTTTACAACTCTTGGAAAACTTGAGACCAGGAGGTAGTTGGCTGTTGATCTGAAATAAAACTTCGCAGCAGAAGTCTTTTTAGGTCTCACAATTTACCCTGCTGGAAGCCATGACCTCATTAAGGTAGCCAATCAGTTTAGATCATGAGGTCACACCCTGACCAATGGGATGAAGACAGTGTGCTTGTGGGATAAAAGGCGGCCTGTCCCCTTGCTTGCCCTTGTCCCTCTGTGATCTGCTCTGCTGCAGGAAAGTTCACCTGGCCAAGAAACTTGGCAGCCTTTAGTTTCTTTTCTCCTGTTTGTGACACCACAGAAATCCTGCCTACCAGCAAGGGAGGGGAAAGGGCTCTTGCTCAGGGCAACTCTGAAAGTGCTGCGTGTTACACCCACACTGAGAGACACACGGAGCTGGGCCTCTGCGTGGACGTGGGCGTGTGACGCTGGCAGCAGAGTGAAGGACAAGCTGTCACCCTCAGGTCACCGCTGTCATCCTGTACTGTTTCTGCAGGGCGATTTAAAATGAAATGCAGGATGCTGGCTGCCATGGCCTGGGGTAGCTCAGAGGTCAGAGGCCTCAGGAAAGTGGGGAGCCTGTGATGGCTGTGACTGTCTGCTGTTCTTATTAATCAGTTCACCTCATCAATTGTGAGGGAAAATTGAAATCAGGAAACTGGTCTTGTAGGTTTAATAACAGGGTGAGCATCATCGCTGAAGTAGAACAGGAAAGTGTTTGTCTCGGACACAGAGATTTAAAGATGTGTTCGAAGTTTTTTACTGTTTGGTGGCTGAGTGCAGGAATTTAGTTCTTAGCTACATAGTCCCTGTATTTCTGTTTTATTTTTGCAACCTGGTCTTCTTCAGTTGCCAGGGCTGGTAGGCTTCTGATTTTGTGTCTCCTTCCCTCGGTGCTGGGAAGACAGGCGTGTGGCATTTAGCTGGTTTTGTAGTCACCCAGGTTTACTGAGATTTCAGTGCCTGAGGAGAGAAAGCCCCAGTGCGCCGTGCAGTGCAGCCTCGGGTGGCAGCTGCTTGGGGGCCGAGGCAGGAATATGGGGACACCAGGCCCAGCTGGACAGCTGAGCAGGAGCCTGTGTCAGGGTGGAGTCAACATTATGGGACGTCCCTGAGTGTAACTGCAGGATGCCCTGAGTTACATCTTTAGCACTAATGAAAAACAGAAAAATATTTAGTGGAAATCTGCAGTTTTGTATATTATTTACCTCCCTCACTAGTGGTGCATGGTGCAGCCCCTGCTCATGGCGGGGGACTGCGATCCCACGTCACTGCTCTGTCAGCTGCTGGACACCAAGGTGAGCAGCCAGCAGTTGCAGTGCGCTGTGCTCCGTAATGTTCATGAGATGCTAATTTATTATACACTTGTGTGTGTCTTACATAAATGTCCCCAAACACAGATGAAGGAATATGTGTTCAGGTTTAAAGGTTTGACAGTGACGATTGATTCGTCATAGTATTCTGTGCATTTCAAGTATATTTTTCAGCCTTCTGTGGGTTGATCACACATTTTCCCTAGCTAACCCACAGCGTCTGTGGGCTCATTTCTCCATCTGTGTGGAATCCTGTGTAGAAGGTGGCATCCGTCAGGTTGTCCTCTGTTTGAGTGCTGCATTGATCAAGTTCCCCACAGCAACCCAGCCAGGGGAATGGTAGGTGCTGTTTGGGAAAGGGAACCCTGCTGTGGGGATTTTTGTTTGCGAGCGTGTTTGTTCTGCTCTGCCTTTGGTTTATTTTACACTGTACAGAGGTCCGCGGCACTGGTCATGTTCTCTGACCTTCATCACCCTGATAAGGGAATAGAGCTGGGGATGGAGACACAGACTGTAACCCCAGCGCCCGGGGCGGAGGCACAAAAGTTGGTGTGAGTTTGATGCCAGTCTGGGCTCCAAAGTGCATCCAAGGCCAGCCTGAGCTGCGCTGCAAAACTCTTCTGAGTGAATAGGAAGGAACAGAGCTTTCCACTGAAGACACAGGGCTGAGCATGTGACCCAGGGCAGCAAGCGTGTGCCAGGCTGGAGAGAACACACTTCCACCCCAGCCCTGATTCCCGCTGACTCTGGGAGCCCTCTACAGGATGAGCTGTCAGCCCTGTCACTAGTGCTCTCCGTGCAGATGTGTGCTTCCCACACGGTGACCCTGCTCACCACCAGGGTTCTGCACCATGGCCTCCTGGGCAGTGTTCCTGCTGTCTGCAGACCCCAGAGAGTGACAGGTGCCAGCCGTGTGCTCTCCCCCTGCGCCCCTCATCCAGCCCATGTGCATCCGTGTGTAGTGTGCCCACGTGGGAGTGTGGGAGAGCGCTCAGCCTGTGTGTTTGTTACTCCGCCCAACCTTATTTCCAGGTTTACTTCCATCAGTGTACCTGTAACTCCCCACAGGAGTCTGTCTCGGTGACAACTCACGTCCCTTTCCACAGCACTGGGACAGCAGGCTTGTCCAGCTGTGTTGCTGTTGTAAATGCCACAAGCACATTCTTTAGTGCCCTAGAAGCCGATCAGAGAAGATGCCGTAGATGCTCAGGCCCAGGAGCCTCTCTGCTGGGGCCCAGAGTGTGTGTCCAGCACCATCGTGATGGACCAGGCACACTTCCGCCTGGGGGCTGCCTTCCCGTTTCTCAGAGCCACCAGCACCAGGCTTTTTTATATTCCTGTGTTCCGTGGAGTCCTAGGAAGACTTACTGACGTCTTTATAATTTTCCTGTGGTATGCTTCCATTTCTTTGCATTCTTCTTACATTTTCAGTGTAAGCCCTTGTATAAAACATCTGCTTTCATAGTATTTTCGTATTTGTGATGAGGACTTTTTTGGTAAAATCTTTTTCTTCTTGGCATCTTACTGTCCCTTGTACAGAATCACTGTGCCTTCTCATTAGTTTCCCATCTACATGTTAATTTCATGAATTATTTTCTTCCTTGAGCAGAAATCTTGTTACTTTTCATGTCTTCAGAGTACCTTAACATTTGTAGATTTACAATTTTATATTTGAAGATATCCTCACACGGTTTCTTATATAGTACTTTGTTCTTTTACATGTTTTAATTTTGCATTTTACATATTTTTTGAGTCTACCTGGAGTGCATGTTGGCATATGGGCATGTGCTACCTCAGGGAATGATTTATACATTGCTCTGTAATGCTCATCCCGCCACGTCTCGGTCTGTTTAAACGCCGTGTTCCTCGGTGCTTCTCAGAAGCGCACTGAGTCTGGACCGGCCTGCGTTTCTGGCCTGCCTGAAGTGCAAAGCAGGTTCCAGACGGTGGGAGAGGCTGTCTCTGTGGCTCTGCTCTTCTGCTTGAGATTTGAAAATGAAATTCTGACCATTGTTTTTCCAAGGTCATTCTAGGAGCTGTTTCCTAAATGTGAAGTTATCTTATTTGAACATATCGTTGTATTAGCACACAGTTTAAAGAGTCCCTAGGGAGTCCATCATGAAATTGGAGGCTGAGCCTGATTCTGCTGACACCCAGGTCTTCAGTTCTTTTTCTGTGTGTGATTTTCCTCTTGGTGTCTGGTGGCAGACTTCTCAAGGAACGGGGTGGAAGCACCCAGTTGACTCCTGTCAAGGCAGAGTTGAGAAGTATTTGCAAAAATTTTAAGCAAGGTCAGTCTTGAGATGCGCTTCTGACAGTGTATTTTGTAAAATATTAATTTTAGACATGTGGCATAGAGAACTGCTCGCACTTTCTACTGATAAGAAAACCTTTTGTTTTTGCTGTGTTCACTGATGATCAGGTAAACAGTTTTCCTTAGGGCCACAGGCTGTGGAATTGCTCTGAGGTGTTCTTGTGTACTGGCCCTGAGGTCAGTTGTTTGGAAGCTACATTTACTTACACTTCATGCTCTGATTGTGTGTCGCGGAGCTGCGGTGTCCTGGCAGAGTTTCGATGAGTATTAAAACTTTCCTGTTCTCCTGGCCTTTCATGACAGTCTGTTATTTTTCTTGAAATTTACATGTCTATATTTTTAACCTTTCATGCCTAGAGTTTTATCTCTGGGATCTCAATCTCCTTGTCAGTTTTTGTCTGTTTCCTATTTTGTCCTGTGGTAACACATGAATTTGTGTTCCAAATGACACCATGGTGGGACACAGGGACTATCCTGGACTTAGTTCTACTTTGAAATAATTCATGTACCATGTGTCCATTCCACATTTGCTCGTTTTCTGGTATGTGACGTTGCAGTTATTAATCACATTCTAATGTTTCTCTTCATCAAGTACCTTTTAAGAAATAATTAACAAAAATTGAGTTTTAGAGTATATGGTTGTGAAAATTAGAATCATCAGTTCTGTTCATTATGTGTGTGTGTGGTGTGTTTCACTGTGGTTTTATGCTGAGGGACCCTTGCATGAGATGGACAAATGCAACTTCATCAGCACAGACACAGCATTTTCCTGGGTGAGCTGCTGAGTTTGAACCCAGGGCATCGGGCAGCCGAGGGCACCATGCTGCCACTCAGCTACATGTAGAAAGAAGACACCATTTTCTGGTGCAGCCTTGGACTTGGTTAGGTGATATGCTATGCAGGATTTGAAAATCAGCTTGCATTAGATGTAATGGGCCGCTATGGCCTTTTCTCAGAAACATGTTCTCTTGTTCATAAGTTTTATGTTTTTACTGCAGAATAGATGTATTCATCCTGGGAAATTGGCACGTATGCCAATGGCACCATGATGGGTATGTGAAAAGGTTCAGTAAATCAGTTGAAAACCCACTGGGAGGTGAGTTTGTGATGCAAAGTATGTTTTTGTTTGTTTTGGACTGGGAATCCAAGTGGGGTCCACCCATTGCCAGGCAGGCGCCGCACCCCTGAGCTAAACCCCAGCCCTGTAGGCTTCTTTGCTTGGCCTCTCCTGGGAGTTCTGAGGCTGGGGCACCGTCAGTAGCAGCACATTGGCTCTGCGTGTCCTCCTCTTCTTCCTTCTGGTCTCCTGGCATGACAGAGTCAAAAGGAGAGAAAATGGAGAAAGAAAGAAAGGAAGGAAGGAAGGAAGGAAGAAGGCCTTTCTTTTGCGCACAGGAAGGCTGCTGAAGAAGGCAGGCACCCTCTGGGCAGTTCAAGAAAGAAACAGGCTCTGTTTGAAATTGACAGGGGCGGGCGGAATGACGTATTGCCAGCTGATTGGAGGACCTTGGCGCACACACGGGTTAAAGCACCCAGGGGAGACCCTGTTAGCCTCATCCCCGTCTTCCCCTGGGTAACACTGTCCTGCATACTGTGCTGGTGCTCAGGAATTTCCTCCATGTGTGTGGTCACCTGTGGTGACACTTCAGTGTCCGTCTAGCTCTACCACTTCAAAATGGTCAGTGAATTCCACAGAAATACACGGAAGAGCATTCTGCGTGTTCTCTTTGTCTCGGTGTGTTTTGGACAGGCTGATGCTTCTCGGGAAAAGTGCTTTCTTCTCATTTTAGCTGGCAGATGCCGCTTCATAGATGCGAAGGGAATCACATTTCTGTCCGGACACAACGTTGGTGTTTTCAGGATCTGGAATGAACTCAGTGGTGTGTGGACCGTGGAACACGCCGAGGTGGCGGGTGTGCGTGTGCACGGTGCTGTGTGACCCTCCATCCCCGTAGGTGAGCGTCAGTGTGTCCTCCCACACCCCACTTCCCTGCCTGTTCCTCAGGCGAGCTCATGGGCCCTGTTTGCTAAGTGGTGCTTTCTCTTGAATAAGTTTCACTCTTGTTTCTAATATGTTTGTTTTTTAGTTGGTGTACAATCCCCTTAGCCTGTAGTGCTTGGGTTTTTTTCCTTTCTTATCCCTTTACCTCCCAGCTTTCCATGGTTTTCTCGTTGTCTTCGAATTCTGATAGCTTCCTGATTTTCTTCTGTGGAAACACTAAAGATCTTGCACTATGAATTCTCAAAGTGTCCAAGTTGATCTTCTCCTTTCTAAGAGGAAATTTTAATTGTGCAAGCCACATGAAGACTATGACTCAATTTGTTTTTTTTCACTGCTAAGACAAAATACCTGATGCCCCGAGTTAAAACAGCACGATTCTATGTAGCTCCCATCTGCAGAGATTTCTTTCCATAGTCGGCTGGCACCATGACAGGATGGCAGGGCAGAAGAACCCAGTGAAGAAGCACTGCAGGAGAGAGAGCCAGCCCTTTCCCCTCTCTCACTGAGTTTGTGGCTAGGGGCCCCTTGTGGCACCCTGCAGACCCGAGTCAAGTGGTGTGAGAGGAGCTGCTCCCCCTGAGGAGGGAGGGGAAGAAGTGTGTTGTCCCTAGTGGTGGTGTTTGGTGCTGTTGGTTCTCCTGGAGGAGCTCGTCGACCTTCTGTCCTGATACACACTTGATTGTTCTCAGCAGCCGCAGAACTTGGCACCTTGTTGTTGCTGAGAATGGCTGTGGTTCACTTTGGGCGCGCTCTGGTCCTTACTTTGAGCATTGCCTCCTGCCTGCAGAGGGGAAGATGTGTGCTGTTAAGTCTCCAGGAGAAGCTGTCCCGCCGGCTTCCTGATGTGAGCCCAGCTGTTCTTGTGATCAGAGGAGCTGAGGGACTTCACTGTCACTGAGGATGGCTCTGGTGCTTTTTGGGGGGGCCATGGTGCTTATGTTGAGCATGCCTTCCTGGCTGCAGTGCAGATCCTTCGGCTAGGGCACAGCTTCCTCACCCCACTGCACAGATTTTCTGGCTTCCAGTGCCGACCTTTGGGCCTTCCCAGTGCAGATGTGTGAAACAGACTTCAGGAGTCCTTGTCCTGGGCTCTGGGCCTCCAGCTGGACTTATAGGAGCCATTGTCATGAGCTCTGCGTCCTCAGCTGGACCCACACAGGACATTGCTGTGGGATCCAGGCCTCAGCGGTGTTCTCTAGGTCTTTAATGTGTGCACAGATGTCCTGCACTGTCTTCTGACCTTTGACTCCTTGGGTGATCTTTATAAATAATACCGAGTAGTAAAAGACCCTGTGCCGTGTTCTCGTTGAGGTCCCTGCCTGCATCACTTGTATGGGACGCAGGCTCCTCACCCCAGGGTGGTGTAGCACCCACACCTCTAACGCCCGTCCTGAACCTTGAGTCAGTCACAAATGCTAGGCGCCCTCCGCGGGACTGCCTGAGGGTGCCAGGGCCACTGGCATACAACCACGGCAGAGTCAGGTGTCTGTTTCTCCTGTCGGCTGTGTTAAACATTGTGTGGTTTGCACCGTTTTGTGACAAAAGAGCTCTGTGACAAATCGGTATCATCTTCCGTTCTGTCTACTCATCTACCTCAAGGCCACCAGTGCCCATAGGTGCATAGATCGTGCCTGAGCTACAGTGAGAGGCTGGGACTCCATTCCCAGTGCGATGGAAGGATCCAGGGGTCAGTGCTGCCACCAGGGATGCCATATAAGGACAGAGAGAGGGCTGTCGCTCCACTCACCACCTCCTGCTTTCCACTTCTGCCGCCCTGTGCCTCGCCCCGTCTTCCAGGCCGTCTTGCACTGAATCTCTACAAATATGACCCAAAATGAACCTCTCCCCGTTTCTCACTCTTACGCCACCTTTCAGGTCACTGACCCCAGGACAGCTTGGCTTCCATGGTGGCATCTCACAGTTCTTAGCCAGCCTCTGATGGGAAGTGTCACTGTTCTCATCAACTGTCCAGATGACTCACAGATCGTGCTTCGTGCTTAGTTTTTCCCCGTATGAAGAACGCAGATTGAAATTTCAAAATATGATCTCAGTAGAATCAGAGGTGGAAGGGATTAATTTCCTAAATAACGAGTGGAGGAAAAAAGTTACTTTCTTTCATTCCTCAGTTATTCAGATATGTTTTTCTGGTTTTTTCCCTTGACTCCTTCTATGACCCGTGCTTTAGTGACTCTACAGCAAACCTGGGTGTGACCAGCAGAAGTACTGTTCCATCCCGCTGTGGCTCTGCACCGAATTCCAGGGCAGCCTCACAGTCCATGTGATGAGTGCCTCTGGATGGACAGTCAGTGAGGACCGAGCGTGAAGCAGAAAGTGGGAACCTCAGCCCCGTGTGGGCTGTGGAGGAGCAGAGCTGAGCTGGATCGTGCCGTGAGCCTCCCTCTTCCTCCTGGAATCCACGTCTGATGATGCAGGAGGCAGTGACCTTCGAGGACGTGGCTGTGAGCTTCACCAGGGAGGAGTGGGCTTTGCTGCATCCTTCCCAGAAGAAGCTCTACAGAGCTGTGATGCTGGAAACCTTCAGGAACCTGGCTGCCGTAGGTGAGGGAGACGCTGTGTTCTCATTTATGCGGTCGGAGAGCACTGGGTCCTGCCATCAGCTCAGTCTCTTAGCGGGAAGATGACACACTGTGACGCGTCTCCCGGCAGGGTCACACTGTGCCGTGAGTCCCCCTGGATCTGGTGATTTTCATATCTGTGGTCAGTCATCAGTATGTTTCTCTTTCTACCCTTCAGGAAGGATTTCAGATGTCCAGCAACTTTGAAGATGAATACAGAAATTACAGGAGTCATCTGAGGTAATTTGTACTCAGAAAAGAAAGTTCCTCAAGTGTCAGAATATTACACCTGTGAAAAAGAAGACCATGTTTAAATTTCTTAAATCTTGCAAAATTTCTTAGTACACATATTCTCGTAGAATATCTCCAATCTGACAATTGATATTTGAAATTCTCCAACATCTGAACTGTAGGTGGTGCTCATATTATGTCAAAACTCACATCGTTCAACCGAGCATGTTGGCTTACTCAGGGAATCCCAAGACACAGGAGACTGAGGCAGGAGGATCAGCGCATGTTTGAGTCTTGCCTGGGCTACAAAATGAGCTCAAGACCAGCCTGATCTGCATAGAGAGGCCCTGTCTCAAAATAAGTCCAAGGGGAAAAAAAAAACTGACATTGAGGTCATTTAAAAGACACACAGGCAGATGAGTTGGTGCCTGCTTGTAATCTGAGCCTGTGAAGGCTGATGCAGGAAAATTTCCAGAGCTTCGAGTTCAGACTAGACCACATAGTAAGTTCAAAGGCAGCAACAACTACAGAGCAAGACCTTGTCTGGAATTACAGAAAGAAAGGAGTGCAAACTTTGTTCCATGCTCACATTTATACAGAGGTGGAATGTTGAGTGTCACTGAGAACAGGAGACTATAAAACAAATTTGTGTGCACACCAAGAGCTGACTTCTACTTATGCATCCCTACCTTTTTAAAAGACCGCTTTTGTACCAAACAAATTATATATGATACTATATGTGGTTAAATATGATGTACACACTCAGTGATTGGAAAGTTGCTAATCTGGGTGTCTTCAAAATCCAAATGAATACCACTGTTTTGATCACATTTATTAGGCGGGGATGTAGCCCAGCAGCATAAGCACCTGCCTCGCTGTAAGGTGTTGGAGTTCAATTCACGTTTCCTCTCAAGCAGTCCTCCAAACCCACAGTGCGTTCCTGTCCGAAGCGTTAGGAGGTGCACCGCCATGTTACTGCAGCTGGGCCATCTGTGGAAACCTGTGTAGAGATCCCACAGGAGAGGGGAGGCAGACATCCTGTTTTATCCACCCATACTTTTTGTTTTTTATTTGGACTGGGTCTGACTGTGTGGCCCAGGCTGGCATCGAGCTGACAGTGATCCTCCTGCCTCAGCCTCCTGGGATGGCAGGTGCTGTAAGCAGGCCTGGCTGTATCCGCCATGCATTCATTACGCATATTCTCCACAATGTTAAGTGCCGTTCACAGATGAGACAATTCTGGAAATGTTGGGTAGCCAGGGCATAAAGGGACATGGTTGAAACCCTAGTAATCTAGGAGTCTGAAGCAGGAGGATCATGCATTCATGCTCAGCCTGGGCAAATTCATGATTCATGAGAGTCTGTTTCCAAATAAAAACAGAATAGCTCGTGAATGTGTCTCAGTGCTAAAACCAGGGTTCCATTTCCAGCCCTGAAAGTGGCGTGTCTAACAGGCTAGCGTAGAGTTCGTCCTCAAAGGAGAGAAGGCAGGCCTCTGCCGGAGGTCGCTGGCTCTAGTGCTGATCACGTTACATTAAACCAGGCACACGGAGAGGTTTCCAGATGGCAGGTACTCTGGTACAGCGATCCCACCACGTGAGCTACGGAGCAGGTGGAGAAGAGGGGCCACAGAGAGGGGCAGGCACAGGAAGGGCTGAGGATGCCGAGGGGGTGGGAGGCGGAAGTCACCGGGAAAAGGGTCAGAGGTTAGCAGTGCGTGGAGCAGGGCTCATCAACCTGTGGGCCACGTCCTCAAGATGAAAGCGTGTTGTGAATTACAGATGAGTTGGTCACAAAGTCCCAAATGATTCTTAACTGTAGAGGACAAGCTGAAACCAACACATCATGCAGAGCGCATGGTGAGTGGACGGCTAAGTGTTGACAGAGGGCATCACAGCAGATCTCGCGGAATCTTTACTGTTAAATGTGATTGGTTTTTGTTTCTCTCCCCTTTCACAGAAGTGAAGAGGTGGAGCAAGTCTGTCAACCTAAATTCTTGTATCAACTTGGAGAAATGGTTTCTCTGACTCCAGATGCACATGAGCACATGACAGCTGTTGGCATAAACCCAGGTGAAAGTGTTTCCTCTAGAAGGCCCCTGGTGGGTCGTCCATCAGCAGAGGGGCCCATCACGGGCAACACTGCACTCAAACCATCTGAGCAGCATGGATTTCAGGAGCAGCTGTTTACCTGTGACAATCATAGGAAAGCCCGCACAAATCTCCACTCTTCTCTGAAATATGCAAAGACAAGTCCTGGAGAGAAGCCCCATGAACGTGTGCCCTGTGCCAACTCCTGGCCTGGTGGCATTGAAGTCAGTACCAAAGAAGAGAAGCCAGAGAGCAAATCAGTCATGACACACAATGATGCTCAGCCGTGGGAACTCAGCCTCAGTGAACTGAACATACCCTTGGGAGAAAGTTTTAATTCTCACCGAGATAGTAAGACACCAGCTCACTCTGGAGAAAAATCCCAGGTACATGAACAGTGTGGAAAATCCCCCACTGCCGATTCAAAGGGTCATCATAAAAGAAGCCACACTGGGGAGAAACACTATGTATGTAAGAAATGTGGGAAAAGTTTCAGCACACCTAGTAACCGACAAATACATGAAAGAATTCACACTGGGGAGAAACCCTATGCATGTAAGCAATGTGGAAAAGCATTCAGAACGAGAGGTATTTGTCAAACCCATGAACGGACTCACACTGGAGAGAAACCCTATGTGTGTAAACAATGTGGGAAAGCTTTCAGAACTAGTAGTGTTTGTCAAAGGCATGAATGGACTCACACAGGGAAGAAACTCTTTGCGTGTAAGCAATGTGGCAAAACTCTTAGCAGCAAATATACTTGGCGAATGCATGAATGGACTCACGTTGAAGAGAAACCCTATGTGTGTAAACAGTGTGGGAAATCTTTCAGCAAACACAGTAAATGTAAAATACATGAACAGACTCACACTGGGGAGAAACCTTATGTGTGTAAGCAATGTGGGAAAGCTTTCAGCAGACTGTATTATCTTCAAGCACATGAAAGAATCCACAGTGGAGAGAAACCCTATGTATGTAAGCAGTGTGAGAAAGCTTTCAGCACACGTGGTGGTTGTCAAAAGCATGAACACACTCACTCTGGGGAGAAGCCTTTTGTATGTAAGCATTGTGGGAAGGCTTTTAGCAGACAGTATTATCTTCGAGCACATGAAAGAATCCACAGTACAGAGAAACCTTGTACATGTAAGCAATGTGGGAAAGGCTTCAGCACACGTGCTATTTGTCAGAAGCATGAACAGAGTCACACTGGGGAGAAACCCTATGTATGTAAGCAGTGTGGGAAAGGTTTCTGCACCTACAGATATTTTCAAATACATGAAAAAGCCCACAATGGTGAGAAACCCTATGTATGTAAGCACTGTGGGAAAGCTTTCAGCACGAGTGCTGTTTGTAAAAACCATGAACAGATTCACACTGGGGAGAAACCCTATGTATGTAACCAGTGTGGGAAAGCTTTCATCACACGTCGTAAGTGTCAAATACATGAAAGAATTCACACTGGAGAGAAGCCTTATTCATGTAAGCAGTGTGGAAAAGCTTTCAGAACAAGTGATATTTGTAAAACTCATGAACGAACTCACACTAGGGAGAAACCCTATATCTGTAAGCAATGTGGGAAAGGTTTCTGCACCCGCAGTTATTGTCAAATACATGAAAGGAAACACAGTGGGGAGAAGCCGTATGTGTGTAAGCAGTGTGGGAAAGCTTTCAGCACAAATGCTCTCTGTAAAAATCATGAACGGATTCACACTGGGGAGAAGCCCTATTCATGTAAGCACTGTGGAAAAGCTTTCAGAACAAGTGATATTTGTAAAACTCATGAACGAACTCACACTGGAGAGAAACCTTTTGTATGTAAGCACTGTGGGAAAGCTTTCAACACAAATGCTCTTTGTAAAAACCACGAGCGGATTCACACTGGGGAGAAACCCTATGTATGTAAACAGTGTGGGAAAGCTTTCATCACACATCCTAGGTGTCAAATACATGAAAGAATTCACACTGGGGAGAAGCCCTATGTATGTAAACAGTGTGGGAAGGCTTTCAGAACAAACGATATTTGTAGAACTCATGAACGAACTCACAGTGGGGAGAAACCTTTTGCATGTAAGGATTGTGGGAAAGCTTTCAGAACAAGAGGTATTTGTCAAAATCATGAACGGACTCACACTGGAGAGAAACCCTATGTATGCAAGCAATGTGGAAAGGCTTTCAGCACAAGTGGTATCTGTCAAAGGCATGAACTGACTCACTCTGGGAAGAGACCCTTTGCATGTAAGCAGTGAGGCAAAGCTTTCAGCATTTAAGATGGTTAGTGAGTGCATGAACAGGTTGACGCTGGGGAGAAACCCTATGTATATGTAAGCCATGTGGGAAAGCTTTCAGCACACAGAGTAAATGTACAAGAAGGGACTCACATTGGGTTGGAAACCTATTTGTATGCAGTGTGCAGAAGCTTTTAGCAATATTGTCTTCAAGAGCATGAAAGGACTCACAGTTTAGAGAAACTTCATGTAAACAGTGTGGGAAAGCCTTTGTCAGATTCAAAAATTGTGCAACAAATGGACAGTCTCACTCTGGGGAGAAGCCCTTTGTATGTAAATATAGAAAGCTTTTAGCATGTGTGTTGTTTGTCAGAATCATGAACGGACTCACTGAGGAGAAACCCTAAGTGTGTAACCAATATGAGAAAGCTTTCAGCAGATAACATGCTTATCAAAAACATAAAAGAACCCACAGTGGACAGAAACCCTGTATATAAGCACTGTGAGAATGCTATTAAATCATACAGACAAAAAAAAAATCATACAGACATTGTCAACAACATGTATGAACTCAGACTGGGGAGAAAATATATATGTAAGCAAGTTTGGCGTGGTGGCTCACACCTGTAATCCCAACACTCGGGAGGCTGAGGTGGGAAGATCGTTGCAAGTTCAAGACCAGCCTGGGCTACAAAGTCAGCTCAAGGCCAGCCTGAACTGCATAGTAACACCCTGTCTCAAAAAAAAAAAGCTATATATATATGCAGTAGTACATACAGAGGTTACCTAGAACACGGAAAGACTCTCTCCTGGAGAAATCCTATTATGTAAATATGTGGGAAAACTGTCACCACACATTGTGAAAGTCCTGAGGGAAATCACGCTGGGGAATACACCTGTATATATAACAATATGGGAAACTATTCAGCTCACATGACCTTTGTGAGACATGAAGGAACACAACGCACACTCTTAAAATGCTATTTATGTAATCAGAGTGTGAGTGCATTCAGTACAGAGCTGTTGAGTACAGGAAATAAATTACCCTTGGGAGAGTCTGCAGACAGTAAGGAGCAGCCTCTGCAGTGAGCATTGTACACGGTAAGAAGGGGACTACAACTGCAGAGGAAGTGATCAGACCAAAGTCAGGCTGAGGGGAACCTTTTCTGCTAACAGCATGAAACCTTCAGTCCACACAGCTACCGGTGCATTGAAGAAAGGGTGCACAGTTGAATGTGTGATTTTTAAAGTTCAAATTCATGAAAGAGCTGTGACAGGCAACATGATTTATATGGAAACCCTTCACGTTTTCTACTTTATCTTCGGATACATAAAAGAACTGCCACTAATAAATAGTGTGAGAAAACATTGTGTGATGCCCGTGATACCGTAAATTCTACAAACTCATGAGTGGTGGTATAAATAGAAGGTGGAAAATCTTCATTTTACATGTTTTATTAAATATAACACTGCACTGTGGAGCAATTCACATAAATGTTACATGGAAACACCGTCATTGTGGTTTCATGTATGTGGCAAGATGCTGTGGTAAGAAACCATTAGTATAAATGTGCACAAGTTACCAGTTGTCCTGCATGGAAGAACGGATGTTGTATCAAGCCCTGTGACTGCGCAAAGCTCTACTATAACTCAGGCTTTCTAAATGATTTGATCTCTGCTCATAGAGCTTAAACCTAAAATACAGTTGTGTGAAACTGAGATCTCAGTAATTTCTCCAGAACACACACGAGAAGGAGATACACTATCATGCATATATTGGAAGCTCAGTCTTAAGATGGCTCTCTGGATTAAATTAGCTAGGAGCAATTGTGCTAACTCGTAACCTCAGTACTCAGGAGGCTGAAGCAGGAGGGTTATAGTGAGTTCCAGCCCAGCCTGAGCTACATAATCCAGTCCTATTTCAAAGCAAACCAACAAACAAAAAGAATAGATGTGCTCACATAATCCTGTAGCTTATTGGACAGGAGTTTAATATGGCCTCTCAGATAATAATTGTCTGTGTTTCACACTACTTTAGATCCAGAAGTGAAGTGACCTGTTTCTTACATGACAGCAGGCTCAGTATTTCAAGAGTTCATTTCTGTTTCCTTTCTTTTTTATGTTTAGTAATTGTGGGGGAACATGATTCCAAATCGGAATTCTGCTCTGTTGTTTTTCCACTAGCTTGTATTTGAAACATTGCTCTAAACAATGCATTATTTTAGCAAGAATTCTTTAAATGGGTGTCATATTTTATTGTTTTATTAGTAGTAATTTCTACATGTGCTTAAGGGTTCATCTGTTTTGAAACTGTGAATTAGCAAATCTTTTTATTATTCTGAGATGTTATCTACATTTATCCCAATGTAATTACAGATTACGCGCAGGGCATAATTTCCCCGTGTTTTCCCCACAATCATTACCATCCTGTGTGTACAATATCATTTGTTTTTTACATTCTATTTTTTTGTTTTATTTTAAAGAGGATAAAAATAAGGAAAATAAAAACTAATCAAAGTAAACCAGTATAAGTGGCACAGGACTTCAAAATGTTATGAAACCAACAATGGTTATCATAATGCCTTTTCATCTTCAAAATAGCTGCAGATACATTCGGACATAGTAAAATTCGAGCAGAATGAAATAGAATAGAAACAATCAAGCCAAAACAGTGAGTGGAGTAAAGGACTTCAAGCCACTAGTAAGTCCAAGATGGACACCATAATATCTTGTCTTTCAAATAGCTGCTCCTGCTGTCACATTTAACATAAACAAAACTAAAGAGAATAAAACCCAACTCAAATGAAGACCATACGGTTTCCGGCCAGGATGGCTTCCTGGCAAGGCCTGGTTCTCTGCCCCACACAGTCTGGGAATGGCGCAGACCCCCGGAGAGAGGCTTGGGTGTGGTGACTTCATCTGTTTTTAATCATTAAATTTTGTGTTTCATTCTCATTGTCATGCTTATTTGGGAGGTAATTACTCAATCTGCCACCCCAAAAAAATCTTTTTGTGAGTTCCTGACTACCAGGTACCAGGGATCGTACTCAGGACTGCCTGCTTGCAAGACAGGCGCTTATGCCGCTGAGCTAAATCCCCAGCTCCCACCATACGTTTTCTTAATGAAGATGCAATAATTCAATTATATTGCAATAATGCAATAATAATTCCCCTCTCAAAGCTATGAGGTTGGTAGGGTTTGTCAGCAGGAACATGCTCAGGGATTTTTGACCAGGTTGATGTTTTCTTTTGACAGCTTTCTGTTCTTTGTAACGAAGCATTGTTTTTTAACCTGGGAAGCTCAAATCAGTTATTCAAGTAGAGAGTGAATAATTTTTGTGGTTCATCAACTTTACAAATAAATGTGTGCTGATTTCTGTCACCACAGTAGCTTCCCCTGTGTGATGAATGCAGTGATGTCTCTCTCCCCGCACCGAGGACTCCACAAGCTATCTCTGACACCGTCTGGTGTCACAATCATTTAGCCTTCAGTTCCGCAGCTGCTCCATTTCCCGTGAGGTTGCACTCCACCCGTGCTGGGTCCGAGCGTATGTGACAGTGCAGCAGGAAGTCCTAACCTGGTGAAGAGCTGCCCTCACCTAACCTGAGTTACTGAGGAGGGTTCAGGATAACCATCAGCTGGGCAATGGTTTACAAATCTTATTTAATGATGCATTTTGCTTTTTTTGAGACAGTTCCCACCATGTAGCCCAAGCTGGGCTCAAACTCCTGGCAGTCCTCCACCTCTAAAGTCCCGGCTTTAAATGCTTTTACCACACACCTGGCAAATCCATGTCTGCCTTACACTGAAATATTCCCTGCCTCGTGTGCTCATGAGCTCTGGGACACTGCATCACCGCTGTTCGCTACCTGGATGGTGCTGGAGCTCGTTTCTGATTCTTACTGTTAGAACACTGCATGGTGCACACGGCCACTCTGGTGAGAGGAAACGTGGAAATAGAGCTCGTGATATCCTGAGTAGAGTGGAACCAGGGCCATGTGAGGGCTGCTGGTGGACTGGGAACAGAGACTCCCACCCTCTCTCCCAAGAGTCAGCGCCTTTGGTGAACTGTGGGTACAGAGAACAAAGCCACATCAGCAAGCAGCCCCCATCCAAGAGCCGGTGCCACGTGTGGGCTCTTGGCAGACCAGGAGCAGATGGACCCCAGCCCCTTCCGGTGCGCAGCTGGTAAACTAGAAGTAGGAACCACCTGCCACATACACTGTAACCACCGGCTGATCAGAGAAGCCCAGCTGTGGTGAGAGTTGCGCAGGTGGAACGCAGCTGGGCGCCTGTGTGCTGTGGTTTTCACCAACTCTGCAGGTCTGGGGCCAGTGGTCTGGTCGCGGGTTCAGAGGACAGCGGTACGCAGTGTGGCATCTGGGGGCATCGCCTTCCGAGGGTGGCAGCCACTGCTGATTCCCCGTGGCCTTGTTTTGAAGTCCTGTATCATTTCCATTGTTTTGTTGGGTTGGGTTTTATTCTTTGGTTCTGCTTGATTATGGTAAATCCAATGGCAGGAGCAGCTATTCTAAGAAGAAGATACGTTAGCAATTTGTGATTCACTCTAGAGGCTTCTTTTGAAGTCCTTTAGTGCATTCAGTATTTTGTTTTTATTGTGCCTATTCCATTCTGTTTAATTTTCACTATACCTTAAGTTACCTGTGCCTATTTTGAAGACATCAAAAGGCACTATGGTAACTATTATTGATTTCATAATGTTTCAAAGTCCTGTATGTTTTACACTGGTTTCTTTTGATTCATTTTATTGTTTCATCCTCTTTAAAATAAAATTTAAAAACAAAATAAAAAATATCCTGAGCATATTTGCTTCCTAACAGTTTAGCGTCAGAAAACTTTTCTGGTACTGGTGGTTTCTTTGTAATCAAGCACAGGAAAATTGCATGACTAAAGTTAATCTGTGAAATTCAGTGAAATGTGTAATACAGAGCACAAAATGCTGAAGTTGTGGCTTACTGTGCTAATGTTTTTGGGCAAACCCTGTGGTTTATTGCCAGGCATATTGCACGGGTCTGTACCAACACATAGAAGGCTGAGGCAGGAGGATCTGTGCAACTTCTAGAGCGTGGACTGCCCCAAGAATGTTAGCACAAGTCTTTCTGTCAGTGAGCTACAAGAATCTAAAAGTTTAGCTGTGTTAACTATCTCGGGTATACATATATTTTTTCTTTTCCCTTTCTGCATTTCCACCATCACAGTGTGTCTTTCTCTTCTGGTTCCGTCCCCCATCCCTATTGTTCTTTGCTTTTGAGCACTTTCTTCTCCTTTCACAGCATCTCATCGATTTTGAGTATCACTTACAGCTTCTTACACTGGGGAGACATTATGATCTTT